TTTATAGCAAGAAAACATCAAAGGTTCTATACTAAAATTATTTGGAAACATTTAATAAAATTAATCTAATGCATATTTCAATTTTGTTAAATGCCGTTTCCTGCGTAATAAAGATAGCATATCATTCCTTATTATGGCGTCTTTTTTGCACTACATTTGTGCAGAATGTAGGAAACATGATCAAAGTACAAACATACTTTCTACGGTCCTGCAGAATATCTGCCCCCACCTATGATTATTTTCTGCCATTTAAGACTCAGTGTATAGTTGTATTATCAGTGTTACCAGTTCTTTCATATACGTTGTTAGTTTAAATACAGCGTGACACTATTGCTATATTTCCGTAACTGTTGCATGAGCCGCGTCGACTAGTAAGTAATATACACAATATTTTTACAAATATTTATTGAAAACATTTATGCACTAAAGGATTTATATGTATGTATGTATATTATGGCAATTATATATTAATTTGTAACTATAAAATATCAATATAAAGGAAATTCATTAATATTTAATTATAATATTTTTTTTTATATTACATATGTATTTATTTAAAAATATCTTAAATAACATTATTATTATATTTTTATTATTTCCTTGTGTATCATTTTTACACGTTATTTCTTTTATCTGATTGCTTATCATTTATTACGATATTAATGTTATTATGATTGATTTACAAGATATTATTTTTATCAACCTGTATGATTTAGTAGTATATTGTAGTAGTATGGATTGAACATTTTTTTAGTGAAAATTGATAATTAACTTAATACTTTCTAAAATATGACGAAGGTAATCTAAAAATTTTGTGTCAAGTATTCAAAATTTTGTTTAAAAAATATATAAAAGTTTCAAATCTGTCATTATATAGGAAACTATTGATAAAACTATCAATTATATAACTAAAATTAGTATTAAGATTCTCATTGTTATATTTTATACATGTTATATTTTCTTCTGTAGTGTTAACAATAATTGAATTTATGCTTGCTTTGATTTTGACTTGATTTGCTTTGACTTTTAATGTTCTGATAGAATCTATATTCTATCAATTAGAAACATTTTAAAATAGATCTTTTCTCTTTAGCAGTTTATTATTCAATTTTAATCTTTTTAAGATTTTAAATTCAAAAATGTCACATTTTGATAAAAGTCACGCATGCATTACACAAATTGAAAAGCAAATATAATATATATGTACATAGGAATGAAGGAAAGAACAGAACACATCCATGACATCTGTCATTTTTTAGATTATTTGTACATATAGTAGATATATTAATAAATGTTGAAGTACATAATGCATGGTATATTGCTAATTTTAAGTCATACAATTCGTATATTTCCATATTTTGCGTTCATATTATGAACTTGAAAATCATGAATCATCAGTCTTTACACTTGTATATTGGACATACATTCATACATATATTATACGAATGGATTGTTTTATTCTCAACTACTGAATCATAAATTACCATTGAATCCTGCCATCTTCTGATAATTAAGTATTGTAAAATAATTTTGTTTTATGTAGTTCATTTATGTCTATTTTTTTTTGTACTTGATCTACCAGTTGTATAACATACAGTTCACATATCTTGCAAATATTACATTTTTTAAACTTTTTTCATAGTTACAGAATTTCTTTTTCATATTGTATTATTATGATTGCTTTTAAATTAAAAGCAATATTTATTCATCTGTTAATTATGTACATGTATGTAAAAATACATAGGGTGAAACATAATGAAGCACAGATGTAGGCAAATTTTGTGCAACAAAATAGTACTTATTTATGGCTGTTCTTTATTGGGTCAGTATTTAAAAAAAATTTTAATCAATATTTAAAATAAATGGTCAGTATTTAAAATAAAACATCAGTATGTAATATAAGTGGTCAGTATTACATCGATTAATACAAAAACTGTTAGTATTTTCATTAAAATATTAGTAAACAATAATTTGTCAGTATTTTAAATAGATGGTCAGTGTATATAATAAAATATCCTAACCTAACCTAACCTATAAATTTTATTGTCCAGAAAACAAATTAATACTGTCCAAATAAACAAAATTGTACCGACAAAATGTGATTTGATATTCAGTTTTACTGGCTATTTATTTTAAAATACACTTACCATTAATTAAAAAAATACTGACCAAATAAATAGAACTGTTTATTTATTTGCTAATAATTAAAACAAAATCATGTGACAAAGTTCTAACTTTAAGCATACATATATACTTATGTGTAATGTTAATATATTTAAGGCTACTAAAAGCCAGAATGTAACAAAAAATAAACCATAAACTTAAATAAAAATGTAATTTTATAATTGTAGTTGCAAAAATTTTTTACATGTTATTTATTTTATGTTATTGAATTGTTTTAATCTGCACTTGTACAGTTATTTCTTGTCCATATTTAAACAATACACACACAAAATTTAATGGATTGTTATTAATATTTCATTTTATTTTTCAGAAAAAATGGCAGATACCAAAGATGTCCCAACTGGGGACAACATACCTCACCTGGAAGTGATCAATCGTGTAAAGAATATTCCTGTTATTCATTCAACCATTGAAAAAACAGGATCTACATACTCTTATTTAAAAGATTCACATCATCTAATTAATTGGGCATTGACACAAGCTGAAACTGGACTTCAATATGCAACAGCAACAGCTATCCCTCTTACTGCACCTTTGGCAAAAAAATTTGAAGGACAAATTACCGCTGTGGATCAAAAATTGTGTGAAGGCTTAAATATTGTTGAACAAAAAGTACCACTTATGAAACAGCCCCCTCAACAGGTAAAGTGATAGGATTAGATGGAAACTTATAAGGATAGTATTTTAACCAAAATGAGAAGTTGTAATGAAATTACCTCTTTCAAAAAAATATTTTTTTATGAATCTTATTTAAAGATATGCAAAACTATAAATTAGAATTGATATTTATTAATTTAACATGTAATCATATGAAATATATTAATGCATTTTAAATTTTGTATGTATGTTGAAATGTATTTTAGTGTTTCTTTTCTAACTTTAAATAATGTTTTATGAATAAGTATTATTATAATTGTTACATTGATGAATTGTTTTTTCTTATACAAAAGTAAGTTTTTGTAATTTTCATTTACGTAACTAAATATGTTTAATTTACTATAAAAGTTGCTCTTGAAACATAAACAAATATGATTGTAAAATAACTTTCTGCTTACACGATATAATTAAATTTTTAGTTTTTTATAAAATAGTAAATTATGTGAAACTTTTTTATTGCGAAAAATACTTGTGGTATTAGATAAATAAAACGGTATTAGATAACTAACAGTCTACTTTTACAAATTATCGTACCATATGGAAACAATGGATTATTTGTTATGAAACGTCGCGTTGCAAAAAGTGTTAGTTACACATCTTCGTGATCAGTGAACAGTAGCTCTCGAAGCTACTCTCGAGAAAGTCAGTCGCTTTAACTGAAACAAGCAATTGTTTATAACTTCGAAAACATTAATTTTCGACCCATGTTCATTAGGACTTCTTTTATCATTTAACGAGTACTGTCTACCCTAGAAGTTATGAACCCTTTTCTTTTATAACCCTGTATATGCTGGTGAAAAAAATAATAAGGAA